TATACCCATTATGGTGACTTAATCTAAGTTCCTTAACAGCAACCCAGTAATGTCCGCACTTCTGCTGACTTACAGCCTTTCTGCAGCTTGCCACGAGCCTACAGTCCTCTAAATGCAGAACTTCCTGATGACCTCGAATTGTTCCATCGCTTCTGAAGACTTGCAGGGGCTTAGGGTTTAGGGTTTAGGGCTTAGGGTTTAGGGTTTAGGGTCAGGGAAACTACCAATGATGTTAAGAATGCTAACAATACAAATAATATCACTACTAATGCTACTACTACGAATACTAATAATACTAACAAGTTGAATCGGACCGTGGGTAAGATTGGCACTCCTGCTCTAAACCGAAATACAATGATATACCAAAATCATTTTGGGTCTACAAGGAGTCTAGAACCATAATCTTGGTAATTATGTAGGCTCCGCTTATAATACTTCCTAAGCCTAGGTTTGTCCTGCCAATTCAGAGTGGCCACGAAGCGCTGTATCTTTTGCGGCGAGTTGGGGCCGTTGCCTGGGCCACTGCCGGGACAGAGTCAAGCGGTGTAGGGCCAAGGGTATTTAGGATCATGTTGATTTGGGCGGTTTCCGTACCCCTTATATATCCCTAATAAGGGATACACATTGTCGGAAACTACCGCTTCCTTCTTGTGACTAGGGACTCATAGAAACCCTGAAAGTTCCATTTAGTGAAGGGGCCATTGCCCTGCTTGCAGTCACCATCGCAGTCGCTGTTGCACTGGCAGAAGGCCTGAACAATCTGCTTTGGCTGCATGCAAACTCTGAACCCGCCCTAAACCCTTAGCCCTACACAGTGTTCATCGAGGGTTCAGGGTTTGGAGCATAGGGTTGCGGATCAAATCTACCCGGGAATGACAATGGACACTGTGGATTCTGTTTGGGGATTATGTTAAGGAACTGTTAAGGATTATGTTGGGCCCCCACCAACTAATAGTGACCACAAGAGCTAATGGCAATTATAGTAAGACGTCTAGATATTCCTACTTTAAAGCTATCAGTAGGTTGGGCCTCAACTTCCTCAACCCAAGTTAAGGAATTCGAAAGTATCTGCTTCCCTGGCAGAAGGCCTGGACGAGACTCAGAGTCTTCCCCGCGCCCGGCTTCGGGAACAGGTAGGGGAAAGCCCGTCCTTTTTTGTCAGCACACTGACGCTCTTTACTGGGGAGAGAGAGAGAGAGAGAGAGAGAGAGAGAGAAGAGAGAAGAGAGAGAGAGGGACAGCGAGGGAGGGAGGGAGAGAAAAAGAGAGAGAGGGGGAGATGTTATTATCTAACGCATATGACTTCTCCAATCAAACGCGCAAACATGTGCCCAAACCTGTGCCGATTCTATGATTTACCCCCGAATCTAGAACTGTGTCCTCGATTCTCTATAGGGGGAAGCAAATGCAAACAATTAAGAACACCACTCGGTACTAACAGGTCCTCCTTCTGCATCAAGCCTACTCGAATGTCTTTTTGAATCTTTTGGTACTTTCCCAAAATAGGGGACCAGAATATAGTCCCCAAAATGCCATAATCCTTATTATGGGGACCCCCAAAAAGGTGCCCCTAATTTTGAATTTTGGGAAAACCCCCATATTAGCTCGCGGAGGGACCCTAAGCCCTAAACCGTAAACCATCATGCCAAGCGGCGGCAGTGTTGCATCGTGCGGCGGTCACAGAAGCAACGCATAGGCTTCCCTGGCCACAAACACAACCCTAAGGGTCTATGGGCCCAAATAATCTGGCTTTAGGCCTCCTTGGACCCTTAGGACAAGTTTGGAATCCAGCATACTCTCTGAACCCTAAACTCTATCAGGGGCTCCCACTTGTGCCAACCCTTCCTCTGGCTCAGGTAAACCCTAAACCCGAAAATGTTCCAAAATCTGAAATACATTCATGTTGGGACTCGTGAGGTCGCTTTACGATGAGCTCTTGAAAAGAAGGACCCTGGGGGACCCCAAAGACATGTGGAGATTAAAAGAAAGCTATACAGGTTCACATTAAGGACCATTATCGGGAAAATTCTGAGAAACTCGAAGCCTAAACCCTAAACCCATAGAGGACTATCATAGGGAAAATTCTGAGAAATTCGAATAACTTGCCCAGCTACCTGAGACCTCCCTGCGCACAGGGTCGAAGGGTTGAAGCTGCCTCATGTCATCCAGACCTAGGGTTTAGGGTTTAGAGCTTAGGGCTAGCAGAAATTCTAATAGTAATAATACTACTTGGTATAAGAATAACGGTAATTGCTATAATAATAGTAATTGTTTTACTAATAGTAGGTTTACAAGCTAATGTAGAACCCTAAGTGAATGGAATACTGTTTTTTTTTGGGGGGTGTACTATGCTATGCCACAGTCCCTTCTCTTAGGACCACTTTCCTACGTGGATACATTCCGAAACAGGTTTGGCATGGTTTGACTGAGGGTGCTGCCAAGAATTGCATCAGCATGGTCATGTGTCAGAAGCACGGCGTCTAGCATCAGAATGCGATGGTCATGATACACCCTCAGCACCGAATCGCGATAGGTTTTTCCGCAGTCTATCTGCACATGCTTCACTTGACCATCTGGCTGCACCCAGCGGACCACAAGCCCGACGTTATTCCTCCAGTTGGGATTGCGCCGACCGTAGCGCAGAGCTATGGCACAGGACTGGCAGCCCGGTACGCCGCCGTCTCCGCCAATGGCACACCGGATCATGGGCAGGGCACATGATGACCCAGTCCCAGTGAATATGATGCCAGGTGCGGGCTCTGGGCGGGACGCGAAGGACCGGAGACCGTGAAAGCAGGAGCAGGAATCCAGGAAGGCAGCCAGATCAAAACCCCACATCTTGCGTAGGTGGAAGGAAGCGCCGGAGGATTGTGGACTCAAACCCTCGGAAATCAGGGGAAGTGCGGCAGACTCTAGGTAATGCTGGCCTTCACTTACGTGTTGCACATCAATACCACCATGCGTGCCCTTCCCAGCAAGTGAGTGCGACGAGTGAAGTAATGGAGGGTTGTAGAGTGTATGAAAGAGTTCAGCCGCAGCAGAGCATCACTGTGCTTGAGAATTATGACAACGCAAAGGGCATGATCATAAACCCGGAAGCATGACGACCACTTTGGAGGTCGAGTTTGCTGAAGCCCAAAATCCTAAAGTTGTAAGCCCTGAGAGCCCAGAGGCTGCAGCATGAAGAGGACTATATAGGGTTATTTAGGCTTTTATAAGCATAACGGAAACGAAAACGGAGGCTACTATAGTAGAATAGGGTATATAGTGGGGTTTTGTAGGGATTCATTACATCTAGCGGACTGGATGGCTCTAAGCCCCAACCAGATCTGGCGTCGGGGTAAGGGGCTTGTAGGGTCAAGTTAGGTATGCTTGGGATTAAGGGTTTGGGAATGAGGCGTCAAGGTCAAGGGTTTAGGGTCCTGGGCTCATCGTTTCAGGATGGAAAGCTTAGCCAACTGATATAGCCCTGCAAGCAAGGAGCATCAAAAAGGTAAACGTCGCAGGAGGCAGGCGAATACCAAAAAACGGAAACTGGGAAACTGACACCAAATCGGATTCCTGGTATGGCGTTTCTGAAAAATGCGGGGCTGCCTTTTGTGGAGTCCGTGCTATAAGGAATTGAAGATCGTGCAGAACGTGAGGATAGACCCATATAAGGCTAGGATCTGTTGGAAACTCCCATTTGATGAAGGGCTGGCTTCAGGCATAACCCCCTCCAAACAACATGGAAGCCACAGAAGCCCTATCTAATGATAAAGGACAGTCATCTACAAGGAGCCCGTTTTCAGGTTCCATCTTTGTGTAACTAACTTACTGGAAGGTTAAAAGGGAACAAGGAAGGTTAAAAGGGAACAAGGGAATACCTTATGTGGAGATCATATTCGCCTATTCCCTACTCATCACCAAGTCGACTAAAGGTGGGTCGCCTTCTTTTTCATCTAGCCAGACCCTCCTATGTAGTTCCATTTTGGCTCGTATATTATATCCCTGACCAACAAACCAGAACAGACCCC